TAGAAAGGTTATGCTTGAGCTTAGTATCTAGATGTAGAGTCTTATCATAAGGGTACCGGGAACTAAAAAAAAATTGAGAGGTCCTCAGGAATCTCTCATTTGTGTCTGTATGGGAAAAAGAGCTAGGTTATCAGGTGGATGACTCCCTATGGCACAAGGCCTTCATGGCCCAAAGGGGGATGACATCTTGTGTGTCCCACCTTCAGTTAGGCAGGAAGATTATTGATAAGCGGTACTTAGTCCCGACCAGGTTACATAGTTACACAGCTGAAAAGAGACTTGCGTCCATCAAGTTCAACCTTCCTCACATATGTTTTTTCTGTTGATCCAAAAGAAGGAAAAAAACCCAGTCTGAAGCGCTTCCAATTTTGCAACAAACTAGGAAAAAAATTCCTTCTTGACCCCAAAATAGCAGTAAAAAACCCCCAAAAAGAGTGAGGAAGACAGACAGATCTATAGGATTAGGCAGAAAGAGGCTAAGCAAGTTATAAGAGTTTCCAAATCACACACAGAAGAGAAAATAGCACAGTCAGTAAAAAAGGGGGATAAAACATTTTTTTTAGATACATAAATGAGAAAAGAAAAGTAAAACAAGGATTAGTTAGATTAAAAACAAAAGAAGGAAGGTATGTAGAAGAGGATAAAGGTCTAACGTGCAATACTGAGTGCAAAACTTGCACATAAATGTATGATAAAACTGTCATTTTGAGCATAGATTGCTGTTCAGATAAACATGGACATGACATTTATGCAAAGTTACACCATTTTTATTTTTGATTTATATAAATATCAAAGGAATGAAAAGCATTGGGCGATTTCTTATTACACAGTCGAAGTACTTATTCAGCTTACTTTGTATCGGTCTGAGGGTGTGGTTGTACCTTGCCGAAATACAGGAAAAGCATAAAGAAGTCTCCCCAGGTCGAACAGCAGATGCCCCAACAGTCGGAAATGTTAATACCAATCAAAAATATACATTGTTTTCTCACCCACAGTAGGTTTGCCAGAATTACTGGGTTATTCATTAAACACCAGATTTTGTCCATATGGCCAAAATCCGGTGAAAATGACCAAATTCCGACCACGTTGGCAATTTACCTATTTACAAATACCTAATGCGCTCAGGATTTTTTTTTATCAGTCCAATAGAATAGGTATCATTTGCTTTTTTTTTTTATCAGGAAGCAAGAACTGGAGATTTATCAATGACCGCATGGCGACCAAAGATAAACAAAATGTGTCCGACAGGATGTACAATCGCAAATGATCACCTTTGTGCTAGTGAATGATAATCTGAAGTACTAGCTATGGCTGCCCAGTCTGAAACACTTCAGAGTCCCTGGTAGCAACGAGGAAGCGGACCTGGCGGAGGAACTCAGAGTACAAGAGCTCCGTCACATTAGGTTTTTTATTTGAGGGTTTTTTCACGTGGTGGCTGGCTAGCGTTGGCCACAAACCACATAATGGGGGAGGTGTTATGAATTCCCCCTCCAGGAGAGGGTGTTATCCTGCTTCAGAACTTGCAGAAGGGGTGAAATTTTAGTGATTTTTTTTTTTTTAAGTACACACATACATACATATATATATATATACATATATATATATATATATATACACACACACACACACACACACACATATACACACACACACACACACACACACATTTTCTTGTTCAAGTACATTCTCTTTTAAGATGGCTTTCCCCTTTAAGTGTGATTTCTGGTTATGATCAGATCTGTTATAATCTGCTATTTTAGACCCTGGCTAGTTATTTGTTCTCTAATATCATGACGATACTAATTCATGGATTTTCTGTTCTTTGGCCTCCCTGGCAGTCCTTTTCCTAGTCTGACATCCAGTCTGTGAGAAGGGTCATACACTGAATGGTACAGGTCCCACATGTCCACACAGTGCACGGAATCTGTGCCAGTCGTGGCTCAAGGTATCACAGATGAAATAAATCTCACTTACACGTTTGAGAAGGGAGAACCAAACTTACTTCTTGCTCCACAATTCCTAGTGAGGTTTGTGTCTTGAAACTTCGTCTTCCTTTTCCTCTTGGTTTATGCTGCTCCTCACGCTGGCCAAACAGCTCTTCCATATGCGTGGTATCAATATGAAGGCTAGTCATATGTGGGCCAGTTGTCCATAAATTACGGCCCATCAACACACGCTCAGCAGGCAGGGGATCCCAGTTGAAATTCCGGAGTTTGGAACGACGGTCCCCATAATGTAAATTAGCATGTGGTAAGTTGGGCATGGAAATACCATCAGATGCTGGTGGGGGCAAAGGAAAGTTTCGAGGTGGAGGGGGTGGTGGAGGTAATGAAAATAGTCCTAATAGAGGGGGTGGAGGAGGTGGGTGAGAAGGAGGAGTATGTGGTGGAGAAGGGGAATTTCTAGATGCTACCATGATGTCATCAGTTTCATCCATCAGTCCAGGGACAAAAGAAAGGAAGACAGGATGTATCAGATCTACCAAAAATGGTCTACATCAGGACATTGTCATGACAACAGGAACCTAAAAGCAAAAAAAGAAATAAAAATCAGAATCTCTCACAAAACAGCCACCTCTCCGCTCCCTCCATCACAGCGTGGTCATTATAAGCTAAACCCCCAGCCACCTCTCCGCTCCCTCCGTCACAGCGTGGTCATTATACACTAAACCCCCTGCCACCTCTCCGCTCCCTCCGTCACAGCGTGGTCATTATACATTAAACCCCCAGCCACCTCTCCGCTCCCTCCGTCACAGCGTGGTCATTATACACTAAACCCCCAGCCACCTCTCCGCTCCCTCCATCACAGCGTGGTCATTATACACTAAACCCCCAGCCACCTCTCCGCTCCCTCCGTCACAGCGTGGTCATTATACACTAAACCCCCTGCCACCTCTCCGCTCCCTCCGTCACAGCGTGGTCATTATACATTAAACCCCCAGCCACCTCTCCGCTCCCTCCGTCACAGCGTGGTCATTATACACTAAACCCCCAGCCACCTCTCTGCTCCCTCCGTCACAGCGTGGTCATTATACATTAAACCCCCAGCCACCTCTCTGCTCCCTCCGTCACAGCGTGGTCATTATACATTAAACCCCCAGCCACCTCTCTGCTCCCTCCGTCACAGCGTGGTCATTATACATTAAACTCCCAGCCACCTCTCTGCTCCCTCCGTCACAGTGTGGTCATTATACATTAAACTCCCAGCCACCCCTCTGCTCCCTCCGCCACAGCGTTGTCATTATACACTAAACTCCCAGCCACCTCTTTGCTCCCTCCGTCACAGCATGTTCATTATACACTAAACCCCCAGCCACCTCTCTGCTCCCTCCGTCACAGCATGGTCATTATACACTAAACCCCCAGCCACCTCTCTGCTCCCTCAGTTACAGCGTGGTCATTATATACTAAACCCCCAGCCACCTCTCTGCTCCCTCAGTTACAGCGTGGTCATTATATACTAAACCCCCAGCCACCTCTCTGCTCCCTCCGGAG